TGGAGGCAGTCCTGGCCCTCAGCATTGGTTTCTGCAGCTATCAACTGTCCTGTAGTAGTTTCACACAGTATATTTTCCCTGCTGGAGTCTCTCTCGGGGTCGGGACATGGCCCCATTGTTTTTTTACCAGCCATAAGGGCAACTGACGAGGTGGAGTGGAGTGAGCAGCAGGCGGGGTTTGAGGGCAACAGGTGGAGCAGGAACGGGGCCTCAGGGGAAGGAGTAGTGCAAGGGCAAAGTCTTGGGAGAAGCAGTGATGTGGAGGAGCAGGGACCATAGTTTAAGGCAATGGTGCATCCTCCTCCACTTTTAGAGAGTTTCCACTGCTCCTGGTCAGGATATATTATGTCCCCGTAGGGAACTTGGGTCTTTGTGCATGGCAAACTGCTTTTTCAATTGTCATTTCTTTCAGGAATGGCGATAAAATGGTGATGTTCAGTAACGGGCAGAGGGAGATTTACACACCACAGTTCAAGAGGAGGGAATACCCCGATGGCACTATAAAGACAGTGTACTCCAGTGGCCAACAGGAAACAAAGTATTCTTCTGGACGGGTTCGAATCAAAGACAGAGAGGGCAATATCATCCTTAATAAGAAGTGATTCATCTCTTCGAGTTGCAGGGTTGTATGTGGATCATGTAAGCCAGTTTGTGGTTGAGATTTGTTATTATTTTACAGTGTAGATAGCTGTATCCTGTGGAAGTGCAGCAGTCTGATATGTTTTTTTCTCTTGTCTCTTTGCCTAGCTTTTGGTTCCTTGAAAGAATTAGGGCCTGACTGTAAGTGGGCCTGAGTACCCACAATGTCTATCAAAGTTAATTAAGGATCAGGCTCACAATGAGTTGTGTTCTCTAAAATTATAAATGAATGTCATGTGCCTCAAGGAAAGCCAGAAACCTGCCTATCTCCTGCAGCAGTCAGTGTATATTACATTGGAGCTACTTTCACCCATGTGGTCACAAGGAGATGTCAATCGACATTTCACTTCCTCCACCAGGTGTAAGGAAGAACCAATGGATTAAGAGACTGAGCATATGATTTGATATGTCTGGATTCCCATGGACCACGTGTTCCCATTCCCAGCAGATATGTAGGATTGAATTCTACTTGCATTCACTGAATTTTGGTTGAACTACAGTTTACTGGGAGGGTGTTTCTTGAACAAGGCTTCTAAAACTGTACTCAAACCTGCCCTGAACAGAAATGAACCAACTAATGGTACTTTCTGTGTATGCTTGCTGACCTTGCCCAAAATTTCCTTTCCCCTTACTTGGATACCAGTTGGCTCCTCTGTCTATCCCAGCAGGGTCTGCATTTCAATGGCATTATATGTAAGCCCCATACTTGTAAGGCACATTGAGATCCTGTGGAATGAAAAACACAATATAAATGCAAAAACTATTGTTTTTATTATTCAGCATGATAGATGCCTCCCAGACATGCTGCATTAAATAAAATAATTAATGCGAATGCAGTTTATTAAGTAAAAATCTAAAGATCATGGTCCAGTTCCCCAGACTTTAATAGAGCCATGTTGATTTACACTCCATGAAGTTCTGGACTGATGTAGTTAATTTTACAAATATTTCTAGTTAATTTGTCTGGCTGGCTGGCTGGCTATGTCTGCACTGAAGAGCTTTTCTGGGATACCAGAGGCTTTTTCAGAAAAGCCTCTTTTGGAAAAAAAGTGGAAAAATGCATATCTTTTTCCAACTTTTCTTTGCAGTGTAGACCTATCCTCAGTCTTTCTCTCTTCAGCATTATTTAATTTTGTTTTTACTCAAGCACAAAAATACATGTGTAAACTCTTGCACTCTCATCTAGCAGCCTACCTTTATTCTTTCCTCGCATGCAAGTGTAAAATAATTGCAAAATTCTGCAATTCTTCATTTCTCCGTTTTGTTTCTTGCAGCTTAGGATACAAATTTGCATTCAAATTATTTTGCAGTCTGGAAAACATAGTCTGACTAGAGAGAAAGTGTACGAAACAAGTTATTTCCCATTAATATTGATCCCAGACTACAATGCATAAAAATGTAATTACTCTTTTATAAGTATTTGATGATTAATACATTCTGTAATTTGGTTGTGATAACATCTTTTTTTTTCCTTTTACTCCCTATGTGTAAAATAAACTGTTTAGAATTTTATGCCTTTCACTATTGTAATCTTTAATCCATTTCTGTGGATTTGCAAAGAGCAATTTATTACAGAAATCTAAAAAGATTTCTTGAAAGAGACTGATCTACCATGCTGCTACATAAAGGTTGAAACAAGACTAAGTGTTTTTTTCCCAATAACCATCACAGCAAAGCTGTCATTGAAACGCTGCATTCAATTAGATTTACGGGTATTGCGGACATTTTTTGTAATTTACGTTTGTCATTTTTACCCTTAAATCTTGATTAAGTATATGGAAATCTGCTTGGTTGTGCCATAAATCATAATCCGCAGCAGAATGAGGAATAGTCTTATTTATATGTGGCTTGTACCTGTTTATTTCTGAGCACTCTCAACTCCCGCTGATCTTACTAGAGGCACTCATTTCTTTTCAGGATCAGATCCATGGTTCCTCACCTATGTAGCACATATGGGATATACCCAGAGGCTGAAATTTAGAAAGTATGTGGGCCCTGCTTATCCCTGCATAAATCAGGGTTGTGGTTGTGCATAAGAATGGGGCTGATCCAGCTTCCATTGAAATCAATGGCAAAATTCCCTCTGGCTTCTATAGCGTGGGATTAGGCTGTATGTGGGCATGGTAGTTCCTGATTTGAATGGGTATTACATTTTAGCAAGGCAGGTGCACACAGAATCATGGGCAGAACTTTGGAACTTTTGGAACTTTGGCCACTAATCTATTTGCAAACATGTGTTTCTCCACTAAATGTAAGCTTTACACAGATTGAATATATAACTTTTGTTCATAGCGCTCTGCTCACACTATGTCTAGACAAGCCCATGGGTTGTTTAAAATCAGATGTATGCATTTATCACAGCTTTTATTTATTCTCTGAAAGTGTAGAGAGATGTACCATATATGTTTATTGTTGTCAATGAAATGCCTTCTAACGGACACGTCTCTGACTCCATGAATGAACTGTAAAAAAAATAAAACTCTTTATGCCAAGGTTCCCTCTAAGGAGCTGTGAGGCAACCCAGCCCCCCCCCCCCTCCAGGTGCTTAATGAGCCCCACCCAGTCAGGGGCTCAAGATACACAGGGAGCTGCCTGGCAATGTATTTTGCATCTATGTGAGCCTATACATGAAGACCATGTAGAAGTTTGATAGCAAACAATGCAGCTATATAATTATTAGATGTGCATTACTCACAGGTGATATTTTACAAGAGTTTTTGATGACTTAATTGGACTCACATTTACTTCTAGGTCCAATTCAAGGTGCTGGACTTTGTACTGTAAAACCCTATAGAGCCTGATTACTTGAGGAGTTGCATCTCTTTGTGTACCACAGTGTAAACATCATTATTTCACTTACAGAGTGCACTGTCACCATAGGCACATTTAAATAAGAACAATCACATAACAATTTTTGGTTATCTGTGGGAGAGGCCCCAAGTCACAGAGATCACTGGAAGTCATGGATTTTGTGACCTCCATGACATAATCTTAGCCTTATTGAAGACTTATTGAAAACCAGCATTAATGCTTCAGCAAGTTCCTCAGCCAGCTCTTTTGAATTTCTTGAGCACAACTTATCTGGACTTGATGATTTAAAATATCAATATTATGTGTTTTCCCCTAAACACAAAACAGAAATATTTATTGAACACTTTTCCTTTTTTGGCATTATTATTGATAATTCTACTATTTCCATCTAGTAATTCACAAGTTCCATTGTTAGGAGTCTATGGCTACGTCTAGACTACAAGCCTCTTTTGAAAGAGGCTTTTTCAAAAGAGAGCATCTAGACTGCAATCACTTCTTTTGAAAAAGCAAGCTGCTTTTTCGAAAGAGAGCACCTAGGCAGTCTAGATGCTCTCTTTCGAAAAAGCCCTGTTTGCATTCAAGAACGCTTTTTTTGTTCTTCCTTGTAAAATGAGGTTTTCTGCAGTCGAAAAAACTGCCGTGTTCTTTCAATTTAATTTTGAAAGAACGCGGCAGCAGTCTAGATGCAAGTGAAGTTTTTTTTTTTTTTTAAAGGCCACTTTTTTTTTGTAAAACCTTGTAGTCTAGACACACCCTTTGTGTTCTTAATATATTTTAAAAACTTGTTCTTGTTGTCCTTAACTTGGCTGGCTATAGATTTCTTCTTGCGTGCTTTTGTGGCGGGGGCAAATTTCAAAGGCTGTGATGTGTTTTTCATGGCCATGAATTTGTCAGGGCCCTATATAGCAGATGCAGTTATGGGCAGACAGACAGTTGGTGGCAGTAGAGCTGTACCAGGAAATCAAATGGCTTAGACAGGAAATCAAACAAAAACTTCAATTCAATGTTAATGGTTTTTGGTTTTTTTTGTTGTTTTTTTTCTCCCTACTCAGTTTATTGCACAAAAAGTTTTACACCAGCAGTCTAATGTAAGGCAGCAAAATTATGGCATAACAAAACTGAGTAACTGATTCACATGAGGAAAGCCCCAGCAGGTATATAATGTATTGTATCTGTGAGAGAGAGATGTTATCTGGTGATCCTAGAATGGCACTTGCTGTTCACATCCAAGCTCCAATATTACATTTCTCTGTTGCCTTGGGAGACTGAATTATAGTATTTTCTACTTGACAAAGACAGTTGGGGATTCTTTGTTTACGGTTTGAGACCTAGATTTGAAAACCAGGCTGGAATAGGATGTAGGATATTTTTGAAATTGCATTTTATAAGAATTTCTGCAGAAACCCCTTATTGAGAGAAAATAATGTAATTCTATTTGAATGGTATTTCTTCACACAGCACATAGTCAGTTTGTGGAAGTGAATGCCCAAGAGCTCAGTGTATCAGACTCAGTGTACTGAATTCTTAAAAAGCCTTAATAGTTTTATGACTATAAATAACACTGTAAACTATGGGACATTGATACCTAAGTTGCATGCTTTAGGTGGTAAACTAATCAACCATGTATAGTTCTAAAGCTTCCCCAGCAGGAAAAAAAAAAGATCTTGGCTATGAAAGGCAGGGATGAATAAATGGCTCATAAACAAAAGGAAAGATTGACATTTTAAAAACTTATGAAAGAATATACAACTTCATATTTCCATGTAGGGACTATTTTAGAGGCAGAATGGAAATTAAATATTCAATTAATTCTTTTATTTAAAAAAATATACTAGGGTCATAGTTTAAATTACAAAAGACACTTTCAAATGGCTGTGCTTTTGAAAGATCCCTATTTCTGAGATGACTTCAGCACATATCTACTATCTTCAGGCTAAAGCACCACCTGATGGCCCAGCTTCATTCATCTCTGATTATCATCATATGCTTTTGTTGTGCTGCAGCTTATATCCTAACATCCACTGAATTATCTAAAAGATAAATAATCTTTTCTCTTCTTTACATTCTGCTGTTCAAGAGGTAACTGTTTGCTCATTAACTTGTGTATTTCATGTATGATGCTTTTTATATCTATTCCATTTCTGGAAGCCTCAAGCGCCGCATCGTTGAAAGGAAATATAAGGACAAAATCACCTATCCGAGGGAACGGCCTTTTGTCTTTAGCGGAAACAAAATATGGAGGAATAGTTAATTTGTAATTGAACGATTCAGTGGTAGGTAACCAATGGGTGACTTGGACAGACGCATGTGGAGAATGTCTAGCGCCTGGTAGCTGTTTGCTTTTAGATGCAGCTTTTGATTGCGAAGATGGTTTTGGCTTATTCATCCTTTCCCGGAGCTGTGAGGTTAGTGTTTTCCTGGGTTGTGTTCTGGACATTTTCCCCATTGCTATGGCCCCCTTTTTAAATGAACCTCTTGCAACATCTAAGAGCGACTGTACTGCAGAAGTGGCAGTGCATTCACTCTCTTGCTTAGAAGCAAGGAAATCAGGAGAATCATCAGTTGCATTTTCATTCTGTGTAGTCAAGCGGATGTGTGTTCTACCAGCATAGGAAGATTTAGTGCTGGCCCCTTTGTTTTCTCTCAAGGTGTCAGTTTGCTTATAATTTAGCAATTCAATGATATCATGGAGAAGTCTCTTTTTCACTGTTGTGTCTATGGAACAGTCTAGGTGCAAGGCTGGGCTGTAGTTGACCTCTAAAAGCCATGGTTTGAATTTGTCATCTATCAGAATGTCAAACCCAAACAGCTCAAAGCAATTGGAAGTTAAGGGAACAGATGGGGTTACTGCAAGCAGGGTCAGCATTACAATGTTGTTTATTCTCCGCCACAGCAGCAGGTCATCCACCTCATGGCTGCGTAGGTAAGATCGGAATTTGCTGAATGTCCATTTGCAGCCACGGCCGATCCCTTCTTTATTTTTTTTGTATGAGGCTCCAAATTTATTGATGCTTGTGTTTGTCAGGTGGGCGTAGACATTGTCCAGAGAACCGAGGTCATACTTCTCAGTGGCAAACCTCACCAGTCCTTCTTCGTAAGTGTAAATGGTAAGGGGGCAAAAACTGGTGACACAGACATAGAGGCGGAGATCCCATTTGTACCCAGAAATAAGCAAAGGATTACTAATGTACTTCTGCACAATGACCATGCAATCATATACAAAGTCTTTAATGTCCTGGAAAATGAGTATGCCCCTTCCACGAGACAGAGCCACAGGCTTGCAAATCCAGTAGCTTGGCTTTCTGCCCAGTGCCTGTCTCTCCTTGGTTCAGGGCCCTATATAGCAGATGCAGTTATGGGCAGACAGACAGTTGGTGGCAGTAGAGCTGTACCAGGAAATCAAATGGCTTAGACAGGAAATCAAACAAAAACTTCAATTCAATGTTAATGGTTTTTGGTTTTTTTTGTTGTTTTTTTTCTCCCTACTCAGTTTATTGCACAAAAAGTTTTACACCAGCAGTCTAATGTAAGGCAGCAAAATTATGGCATAACAAAACTGAGTAACTGATTCACATGAGGAAAGCCCCAGCAGGTATATAATGTATTGTATCTGTGAGAGAGAGATGTTATCTGGTGATCCTAGAATGGCACTTGCTGTTCACATCCAAGCTCCAATATTACATTTCTCTGTTGCCTTGGGAGACTGAATTATAGTATTTTCTACTTGACAAAGACAGTTGGGGATTCTTTGTTTACGGTTTGAGACCTAGATTTGAAAACCAGGCTGGAATAGGATGTAGGATATTTTTGAAATTGCATTTTATAAGAATTTCTGCAGAAACCCCTTATTGAGAGAAAATAATGTAATTCTATTTGAATGGTATTTCTTCACACAGCACATAGTCAGTTTGTGGAAGTGAATGCCCAAGAGCTCAGTGTATCAGACTCAGTGTACTGAATTCTTAAAAAGCCTTAATAGTTTTATGACTATAAATAACACTGTAAACTATGGGACATTGATACCTAAGTTGCATGCTTTAGGTGGTAAACTAATCAACCATGTATAGTTCTAAAGCTTCCCCAGCAGGAAAAAAAAAAGATCTTGGCTATGAAAGGCAGGGATGAATAAATGGCTCATAAACAAAAGGAAAGATTGACATTTTAAAAACTTATGAAAGAATATACAACTTCATATTTCCATGTAGGGACTATTTTAGAGGCAGAATGGAAATTAAATATTCAATTAATTCTTTTATTTAAAAAAATATACTAGGGTCATAGTTTAAATTACAAAAGACACTTTCAAATGGCTGTGCTTTTGAAAGATCCCTATTTCTGAGATGACTTCAGCACATATCTACTATCTTCAGGCTAAAGCACCACCTGATGGCCCAGCTTCATTCATCTCTGATTATCATCATATGCTTTTGTTGTGCTGCAGCTTATATCCTAACATCCACTGAATTATCTAAAAGATAAATAATCTTTTCTCTTCTTTACATTCTGCTGTTCAAGAGGTAACTGTTTGCTCATTAACTTGTGTATTTCATGTATGATGCTTTTTATATCTATTCCATTTCTGGAAGCCTCAAGCGCCGCATCGTTGAAAGGAAATATAAGGACAAAATCACCTATCCGAGGGAACGGCCTTTTGTCTTTAGCGGAAACAAAATATGGAGGAATAGTTAATTTGTAATTGAACGATTCAGTGGTAGGTAACCAATGGGTGACTTGGACAGACGCATGTGGAGAATGTCTAGCGCCTGGTAGCTGTTTGCTTTTAGATGCAGCTTTTGATTGCGAAGATGGTTTTGGCTTATTCATCCTTTCCCGGAGCTGTGAGGTTAGTGTTTTCCTGGGTTGTGTTCTGGACATTTTCCCCATTGCTATGGCCCCCTTTTTAAATGAACCTCTTGCAACATCTAAGAGCGACTGTACTGCAGAAGTGGCAGTGCATTCACTCTCTTGCTTAGAAGCAAGGAAATCAGGAGAATCATCAGTTGCATTTTCATTCTGTGTAGTCAAGCGGATGTGTGTTCTACCAGCATAGGAAGATTTAGTGCTGGCCCCTTTGTTTTCTCTCAAGGTGTCAGTTTGCTTATAATTTAGCAATTCAATGATATCATGGAGAAGTCTCTTTTTCACTGTTGTGTCTATGGAACAGTCTAGGTGCAAGGCTGGGCTGTAGTTGACCTCTAAAAGCCATGGTTTGAATTTGTCATCTATCAGAATGTCAAACCCAAACAGCTCAAAGCAATTGGAAGTTAAGGGAACAGATGGGGTTACTGCAAGCAGGGTCAGCATTACAATGTTGTTTATTCTCCGCCACAGCAGCAGGTCATCCACCTCATGGCTGCGTAGGTAAGATCGGAATTTGCTGAATGTCCATTTGCAGCCACGGCCGATCCCTTCTTTATTTTTTTTGTATGAGGCTCCAAATTTATTGATGCTTGTGTTTGTCAGGTGGGCGTAGACATTGTCCAGAGAACCGAGGTCATACTTCTCAGTGGCAAACCTCACCAGTCCTTCTTCGTAAGTGTAAATGGTAAGGGGGCAAAAACTGGTGACACAGACATAGAGGCGGAGATCCCATTTGTACCCAGAAATAAGCAAAGGATTACTAATGTACTTCTGCACAATGACCATGCAATCATATACAAAGTCTTTAATGTCCTGGAAAATGAGTATGCCCCTTCCACGAGACAGAGCCACAGGCTTGCAAATCCAGTAGCTTGGCTTTCTGCCCAGTGCCTGTCTCTCCTTGGTATATTCTGCCATAAACTTGACATAGTCGTTAGGCATGATGAATGCCACTGGACTAAACTCATAAAGAGATGGTCCATAAATTCCTTTCATGCGTTTCAAATGCCTTGCCAGATAGTCTTTCCTTGTGATCCTGGCTGTTTCTGGATAATGATTCAGCCTCTGCCATGGTTTAATGCTGCGGTGGTCAGTCATACGGAAAGGGGAGTTCTGCCAGTACAGATTCCAGTCTGCTTCATCTTGCTCTTGTTCGTCAAATTCACTCCATCCTCGTTCCAATAAGACCTCACGGACTGCTTTAGGAACGTTTTCATGGAGCCGGAAGACCAGAGGCTTTAGGATGTCTTCTGCATCATGGTCCGATGCCATTGTGTGGCCATTATTTTCTGAAAAAGAATTATCAAGAGGAAAATAAATCAATAAATGATTGCCATGGAGCTCATCATTTAGATCTTGGCATCCCCAAAGCCTCTCTATCCGATGGTTCTTTCTGCCATAAATGTGCAAATTGCAAAAGAAAAATGGAATCAAAAGCTTTATTTACTGCTGAAAGAGCAATTGTATGAGCCTCATGTACAAGATCTTGGTTTCAGAAAACATTAAAACATCATGAAACATTGCTGTCTGTATAAAATTAAATGTCCATATTTTTTTGTGCTTTGCTTTTTAATTTTTGTGGCCAACCTTAACAGTATTTGGCTTGTGCTGTAGTCTGATGATTTTGCACTTCATGAATATTATCATTCTGTTATTTCACAATGTCATTGTTCAGCACAATAATCATAACTTCCCCTATTAGATCTTGTCTATACTAGTAATGTGGGACCCATAATTCCCAATAATTGCAGTGTAGTTTACCATGTTATCTAACCCATCTCTGAGAAAAACCCTAGTGTAGTCAAGATCTTAGGATCTGATCCAAAATCCAGTGAAGTCAATTGAAAGACCCATTAGCCTGATTACAGAGCTTTGCGACTTTGTCCTCACCCACAACTACTTCCAATTCAGAAACAATTTCTATCTCCAAATCAGCGGCACAGCCACGGGCACTCACATGGCACCACAATATGCCAACATCTTTATGGCTGACCTTGAACAACGTTTCCTCAACTCTTGCCCCCTAACACCGCTACTTTACTTACGCTACATCAATGACATCATCATATGGACCCACGGAAAAGAGACTCTTGAAGAATTCCACAAGGATTTCAACAACCTCCACCCTACTATCAACCTCAGCCTAGACCAGTCCACAAGGGAAATCTACTTCCTGGATATTACAGTACAGTTAAATAATGGACAAATTTCAACCACCCTATATCGGAAACCCACCGACCGCCACGCTTACCTTCATGCTTCCAGCTTCCATCCCAGACACATTTTTCAGTTGATTGTACAGTGCCAAGCCCTAGGAAACAACCGGATTTGCTCTGACCTCACAGACGGGGACAATCACCTACAAGATCTTTACAGAGCATTCATAAAACTGAAATACCCACCTGGGGAAGTGAAAAAACAAATTGACAGAGCCAAAAAAACACCCAGACACAAACTACTTAAAGACAGACCCAAAAGAAAAAATAACAGAACTCCTCTTGTTGTTAGCTACAGTCCACAACTCAGATCCCTCCAATGCATTATACACAATCTACCACCCATCTTGGAAAATGATCCCTCACTCTCAGAGGCCTTAGGAGAAAAACCTATTCTTGCTTACAGAGAACCTCCTAACCTGAAACACATTCTTTTTGATAACCATGCCACACAAACACATCATAAGCCTCCAGGAACTCAGCCCTGCAACCAAAAAAGATGCCAACTGTGCCCACATATCTACACAAATTCATCACGAGAGCAAACAACATAAGCCACAAAATCAAAGGGTCATTTGACTGTTCATCTAGTAATTTGATCTATGCCATCAAATGCCACCAGTGCCGCTCTGCTATATATATTGGACAGACTGGATGGTCTCTGCGGGAAAGAATCAATGGACACAAATCGGATATACGTAAAAGGAACACACAAAAACCAATTGGAAAACATTTCTGCTTGCCTAACCACACTCTGACAGACCTGCAGGTGGTGGTCTTGGCACAAGCCAGTTCTTCAAGCCAAAGCCACAGGGAAAGCTTGGAATGACAGTACATCCACAAATTCAATTCACATGCTAATGGACTCAATCGAGATATAGGCTGGTGGGGACTCTACCACTGAAGGTGCAAACAGCTTTCTGAGCAGTATCCTTCCTGTCTCAGCAATCTATCTATTGACTTTGATCTTTATCTGCTTAGGTTTAAGTACCCATTTTCGATATACTTAAAGATGCCCTTCCCCACCCCCAACCCCACCCCCTTCCTCTTTCCTTTCTCTTCCCCTCTCCTATTTATTTCCAGTTTTCATATCCCCTCCTCATAACTCCAGTCATCTGAAGAAATGGGCTGTGCCCACTAAAGCTCATAATGCCATCTACATGTTTTGATAGTCTATAAAGTGCTACCAGATCATTTGTTGTTTAATACTTCCCTGTTACCAATGAAACTTTTCCACTTTCCTGAAGAGCTCCATACACTCTTGCTCTCCCCATTTTCTTCCTGCAAATGAGTTAATACTCTCCTGTGGTATGTAAATCATCTCATAGAGTAATAAATGATACCCCATTTCAGAAAACTCATTGCAGATTCATCATATAATATCCGCCAGCTCCTTTGAATTGGAAATGGATTTGAATTCTTTTTGTTTTCTGGGGAAATTAGCTATTAACAGAACTATTAACTTTTAAATAAGACACCCCATACCCACCCTCTGACCACGCATGCACATACCAATTCCTTCTAACTATAAAGAAAGGGGACATAACTTGAAGTCCCTGTTGCCCCTGCTATCTGTGGAGGGGACAAAATCCTATGGGATATCTGCCTTAGGGAGTATTGCTGCTTCTGTGGCAATATTCTGCCCTTCCCCAAAACTTGCTGCAGAAGCTACTCTACATTTAGAAAGGGTGCAAGGCTTCAGTTGGGGGAAAGCAGTTCTACAAGGCATCATCTCCACCATGAAAATCCATGCCCTAAGACCTTACCTATTTTAACACTCCACGCTCTGAAGTCCCTCAGGATGGGGCCTCTAGGGACAGACATTAAATTTAGCCTTGGGATGTAACAACGTTAGAAAAAAGAAGAAGAAAAAAATTCCTAATCCCAACTCTTTTAACATTTCCCAGGCATGGACATCAGTCCATTGCTCAACCAGTTTTTGGACTGATTTCTTAATATATTTTTTAAGACTGAGAATTTTTCCCCCTGGGGTTTTAAATGCTCAACTTTTTAAACAATCCCCAGCGTGTAAATTCTATACATTCCAAATCTCCATAGAAACCTAGGAGGCATGTCACACCTCACAGCATTCCCTTCTCTCACCCCTCCCTTCCTGTGATGGAATATTTATGGGGAAATGGCAACTTGTCAAAACTGAAGCTTTTCACAGAAAACGGCATGAGAAATTTCCTGTTTTGAAATATTTTTGAAAAAAAAAATCTAAATTAATGAAAAGTTGCCTTTTTTCAATTGAAAAGAAAAGGCACATTTGAAATGAAATGTCTCAATTGCCCTGATTTGAAATATTTTTGAGATTTTCAAGTCCACCAAAATTTTCAAGATTTTGCTTTTTTGTGCTGATTCAGGATGGGGGAAAAAAATTAAAAACATAAAAAATTCTTGCAGGATGGGAAAAGCATTTCCTGTCCTACTGCAAATATTCAGTGACAATCTTGTCCAATATATATGTGTTGGTTACCTGAGCATTGTGCTTTTGACAACTGGTACTGTCACCTCAGCACAATAAGTATCTTTGTCTGAGACTTTTAACCCTTGTGTATCCTAGGGTGTGTCTAGACTACATGACTCCATCAACAGAGCCATGTAGATGAGTTTACTAGACATAGCAAAATGAAGCGGCGATTTAAATAATCGCCACTTCATTTACATCAAAATGGCCGCCGTGCTGTGCCGATCAGCTGTTTGTCGGCACAGCACGGTAGTCGGCAGCAGTGTGTAGGGCACCAGATATAATGAATAAAAGTAACAGGGATATAGATCACTGTGGGTGTGTCTAGACTACATGTCTCTGTCGACGGCTTACAGGATCTGATGACAAAAGGATCTGGGGTCGGTTGATCCCCATCTAGACTACCACGTTGTGCTGACAAACAGCTGATCGGCACAGCGCGGCGGCCATTTGATGTAAATGAAGCGGCAATTATTTAAATCGCCGCTTCATTTTGCTATGTCTAGTAAACTCATCTACATGTAGTCTAGACACACCCTTAGGGAATTTCACTGTTGCAACTTGGAACAGGAACATATGGTGTGGAGTTATCTGCAATGGTACCTGAGTCACGAGCAATGTGCCATAGGATGAATAAGGTCTTTAGGAAGAACTCAGATTTTACTTTCTGCACAGAGCATGGGACTGGAGCCAGGGCTTCTGGGGAGAGGGGGCCAGAGTGAAAGGCCGATTCTGTAGCTCAGTCAAGGGAGGAATCTGAGAGGCAGGGCAGCTAAGCTGGGAGAGCTCTTGGGAAGGCAGTAGCAACAGTGCTGCTTCCCAGTGAGCAAGCATCTGAACCGAGACTGGAGGTTGGGCAAAACCCAGGGCGTTCTAACCAGAGACAGACATCATTGGAAGTGGTCCTGGTCAGCAGCACAATTGGTGTTTGAGTCAGACAACTACTCCGCAGGAAGGCCCAAGGACTGGAGCGTGCATAGAGAGAATGTCTGGTTTCCCCTACGGCACCACCCACATGTGGTAGGAAAATAGCTGTTTACAAGTGGGAGGGACTAGGGAGAAGTGAAGGGAAGGTGAAGAATAGTGTGAACCCTATTGAAAGGGGACAAGGAGAAACAGTATAGCAGAGACCATGAACTAGGGATGTGTAATCCTTTAGTTACCACTATTTATAGTAAAACAAATTAGTTACTAAATAAAGGAATATTTTGTCTCCTGTTTTTCAGCTAACTTATAACTTCTCTGGTCTTTAAGCCAGAGATGATATTCAGCCAGGCCTCGGTTTGGACTGAGGACACCCCTCTTTGAGCACAATTGGGTGATTCAGGAATTTCTCCTCTCCCACACATAAGGCAGAGTCCCTGGAGATGGGATTGAGGGGAACAATGTATGGGTACTAAAGCAATAGTGCTGTAAGTGGATTTATTTGGATATGGGAAAGCAGCCCATTAATGACTGTTTTTGGTTCTCTTTACACTGCTGGACAGAACACACATTGGCATCACAGCCCCCAGTAATGTAAATGCATGTTTGTTGTTGTCTTTGCCTCCATCTTCTTCCTTAAAATTTCAAAACAAAAGAAAGGACTATGCAGCACTTTAAAGACTAATGAGATGGTTTAATAGGTGCTGAGCTTTCATGGGCCAGACCCACTTCCTCAGATCATATTCTGGAAGAGAATTGGCATGACCATATATACCAAAGGAATACAATGAAAAAAGTGAACACATTATTAAACTGACAAATCAGATATAGTACAGAAGGTGGGGTCAGAGAGAGGGAGGGAGGGAATAGCTATTTATGAGTCAATGAATGGCTAATCAGGGGTGATAAGTGGGGAAGCTGTCTTTGTAATGGTTACGATAATTAGCATCTTTGTTAAGACCCATTCGTAAAGTGTCAAATTTAAGCATGAAAGAAAATAATATAGTTTCCCTCTGTAATCTGGTGTTAAAGTCTCTTTGAAGTAAGATGCATGTAGTAAGGTTGTTAAGACTATGTCCAGGTAGGTGAAAATGAAAAGCAACTGTTTTTTCTTTGCGAAGATGTCTGATTTGTGGGCATTAATTCTTTTGGCAAAGTGTTTGAGAAGTCTGTCCAATATACATAGCAGAAAGCCTCTCCCTCACCCCACCTTCTGTATTGATTTGTCAGTTTAATAATGTGTTCGCTTTTTCCATTGTATTCCTTTGGTATATATGGTCATGCCAATTCTCTTCCAGAATATGATCTGAGGAAGTAGGTCTGGCACTTTAGCCTTTAAAGTGCTACATAGTTTTTCCTTTTGTTTTAGCAAGATCAAACTAACACGGCTATCTCTCTATTACTACTTAAAAGTCCACTCTTTCTTATGCAATCTCCTTCATAGATGCCTATTAATCATCCATTTAAAAACCCCTGCAAAGAAACAGAGAAACGTTCCCATTGTAAGAATTCTAGGCTCTGTCTCTGATCCCTGACAAGGAATACTAGATTCCAAATAACATTTAACTGAATTCACTATGATTAACATCTGAGTCATCGTAAATATTGCTGTTAGTTGTGCAAGTGTGTCATGCACTAATCAGTAATGCTACTAGCAACCTTTCATTGAAGGGCACCATGGAGTCTTAGCTAAAACATACATTACTCATTATTGGCTGTTCACAATACATAAACAATAGAGCTGTTGACAGTGGTTTGCTCAGGTCAGGTTGTGTCAATAGAAAACCTTTCTTACCATTAACGCACTTAGGAGGAAGTTGCTTGAAAAGACAAGTTCTTCCCAAAGCCTAAACATAGGAAATATCAACACCAAAGTACTTGGAAACTCAGTCCCTACTGTATATTGAGTGCAAAAACAATAAAATGATTTCAGATATAAAGAACACAACTTAACATCTGTCCAGAGTTTTCACAAAGTGGTATTTGACGGTTAATGTATTTCCTTGCATTTTAAATAAAAAAATATTTGTGCTGCAATATCTCAGTGCCAAATCACTGTATGCTGATGAAAGCATTGAAATGGTAATGCTAGTACATGGGTTTAATTTTAAAATTTCATTAAATTTGAACATTTCAATTTTTCAGTTTGAAATAATTTTGTTTCAAAATAGTCTTAATTTTATTTTTAAAATTCTAAAACATTTTAAAATGGTCAAAATTTAAATAAAAGGTTTTTATTTAGTTAAAATGTTTCATTTGGGCCCAATTAATTCATTAATTTTCAATTTGCCCCCATTTTTTTTTTATTTTAGTGTGGCCAAATATGGATTTTTAAAACTTTTTGAAATTGTTAATGAATCAAAAATCCACTGTTCATCCATCTCTCCTGTCCCACAGACCATCTGACCATCTAATCTAATACCAGGCTATTGAATATGACCTGGTTACTCCATATTGGTCCCTATAATTTGTATTGGACTAAAACACAGCTTCAAAGAGGCATCTGGGCTAACTCAGATAACTGATTTTCTTTGAACAAAAAAAAAGTTTTTGTGGCATCAAATCTAGCAATATCTGCGATCTGTTTGAATTAATATTGAAAAATCTATTTTATGACAGACAAAAGATATTTCAGACAAGTGCGTACTAAATATTTGTTTATTGGCACCTTATTCTTATTTAAAAATGCTATTAAAAAAGATAGAGAGAGACATACAAAAAGCCTCCCGCTTCTTTTTCCTCCAATTGAAATGCAGTTGAATTCAGCATCTTACAAATCATTACATCTCTGTGAGTATGGTATGAAACAAAGAAGGCTTCTCTAACCCTTATGCTCTCACTCCCTGCTATATGTCCTCCAGACCTTTGCCATCAGAAGCTGGGAATGAAATCATTTTCACAGGGTGTGTTTTCCTGTATAAAGTGCTTCTTTCATAAGAAAGGACAAGGACTAGAAAGTGCTTAACACACACACGACTGTACTCATCAATTCAAATGTGCACATACCTCTCCCACTGGTACATCTGCACTCCTGGACAGGTGCATTCTCTGCATGGTAATTGTCCTAATCAATAATGCATGTTGGCTGAAACACTCCACGCACTCCAGGGAAAATCACTAAATATCAACATGCACTTCAAATACGAACATAAGGAAAGCCCTTTTTTATACTCGCAAATGCCAAAGGGGGATTTGCAGGCTGCCTGATTCAGCAGTTACAGCTGCCTGATTGGTTTTTCTTGCCCGGGTGTCTAGTGCAGGCCATGAGGGTTGAAGTCTTATTGCCTAGCAACACAAAGCAGCAATCCAGTATACAAAGGCAAGGAGTGACAGCATCATGGAAGTAGGGGAAGTGCTTTATTGAGTCCTTTCAACTTCTGTCACCAGCCCCTGGGTTCCTCTTTCTCTCCTTTAAGCTTCATGAGCGAAAGCCAACCAGCCTTAACTCTGTCAAAACTGCCACTAAGACAGTGAAAGGCCTGGCTTAGTAATTTCAAACTTTAGCTTATGTTGCTTTAAATTCATTCTCCTTTGTGGATTCATGTGGTGCTTCAATAGCTTTGTGTTTTATATGCGAGGGCCTGTCTACACTGAGGAGTTATTTCAAAATAACTCCCCTTATTT